ATGAAACATCTCCATTGTTTGCAGGTCCTAGCACCAGAGAAATACAAGTAGACTGAAGTCTGCTATTGTCTGCAGCCTTTCAAAGCAGGCTGGAGCAGGGTCAGGGTAAGAGCCACATGGGCAGCTGTGGAGAGCCGCGGACATTCCACACCTGCCCTGGGCACCGGGTTCTGGGGGCGGAGACACATGCCTTAGGCAGGTGAAGGGTCTGCAGCTCCCTGGCCCACTCCGCAGTCCAGCTAGGGCTGCCAGGCGTCCAGTTTTCAACTGGAAAGCCCAGTCGAAAAGGGACCCTGGCAGCCCTGATCAACACTGCTGACCGAGCCATTAAAAGTCTGGTCGGTGGTACAGCGGGGCTAAGGTAGGCTCCCTGCCTACCCTGGCTCTGTGAAGTTCCCCAGAAGTGACCGGCGTATCTGGCCCTTAGGTGCAGGGGCGATCAGGGAAGCTCTGCGTGCTGGCCCCACCCCCAGCATCAGCTCTGCAGCTCTCATTGGCTGGGAACCGTGGCCAATGGGAGCTGTGGGGGCAACGCCTGTGGGCGCAGGCAGTGCACGCTGTGCAGAGCTACCTGACTTGTGCCACAGCCTAGGGTCCAGACATGCCGCCCACTTCCGGGAGCAGCGCGGACCAGGGCAGGCAGGGAGCCTGCCTTAGCCCCGCTGGGCCACCAACCGGGAGCCACCTGAGGTAAGTGCCTGCATCCCGAACCCCTTGCCCCAGATCAGAACCCCCGCCCGCACCCTAACTCCCTCCCAGACCCTGCACCCCCACCTGCACCCCAACCCTCTTCCCCAGGTCAGAACACCCTTCCACACCCAAACTCCCTCCCAGAGCCCTCACCCCCTTCCACACCCCAACCTCCTATCCCAGCCCTGAGCCCCCTCCCACATGCCAACCCCCTTGGCCCCAGCCCCACTCCAGAGCCCACACCTCCAGCTGGAGCCCTCACCCCCTCTGCACCCCAACCCCCTTCTCCAGTATGGAGACCCCTCCTGCACCCTGAACCCCTCATGTCTGGCCCTACCCCATATCCCACACCCCCAGCTGGAGCCCTCCCCCCACACACACCCTCCCCCCGCCTCATCCCAGTGAGTGAGGGTGGGGGACAGCGAGTGATGGAGAGAGGGGGCTGGAGTGAGTGGAGGGTGGGGCCTCAGAGAAGGGGAAGGGCCTCAGGGAAGGGGCAGGACAGGGAGAAGGGCAAGGCTCATTTTTGTGCAATTAGAAAGTTGGCAACCCTAATTCCATCTAAATTCCGACTTGGCTGAGGGCAGGGCCTGCGGGGGAAGAGGAGGGACAGGACGAGGGCCACAGAGGGGATGGGGGCCCCAGCTTGGTCCCACCATGGTTGGGAAGGTTACCACATAGTTTGGCACAATCTAGCACAACAGAGATACGGGCCGTTGTGCATCACAAAGCAGGTGCATTGGCAAAACTGTGTAGAGATTTAGTGTTGGCATTGCAAGGAAAGAGGCACAGGTCAGAATGAAGGTGCCTTGGCAGAGCTCTGCGAGGGGCAGGGGAAGTAGTGGAGCTCAGGACAGAGATGCACAGGTAGAGCTATATTTGGTGGAACTGAAAGGGCTTAAGGGTGGAACAGGCCAAGGATCTGCACATCAGGATTGAAGTATATTGCTCTAGCTGTGTGGGAGCCTGGCACTGGGGATGCAGCCCAGGACAGAGGTGAATGGCAGAGCTATGTGTGGGAATAGCAGGAGAGGCTGCAGGTCAGGAATGAGTTGCATTGGCGGCGTTAGGCATAGGAACCTTACACAGCAGCTCTATGCCCGCAGCTAGCTAGTGTTCAGTCCCTCACTTCAATCAACATGAACATGATTTTCACTCAATGTAACCCTTAGTCTGCTGGCCCATTCTGCACTTCCAGCCAACTTGGTTGCTCAGGAAGATGTGCGTAGTTTCCAAAGGGTTAAATAAAAAATATATCAGTGCTTCGCAAAGCTGAGATTGTTTGAACCTGCCAAGAGGTTCCAACCCCTCCTTTTCCTTTGTGTCAGTGGCAACACGTTCATTCAGTTGCATTGTTGCATGGATCTGTTTGCTGAAACAAGCTTCTAAAAGACAAAGAATAAAAACATTCCAAACACAGGTCTGACTCTGGTGCTTTTTGTTTCCTGCTTTGACTCTTTCATATGTTACTGGGAGGGTGGGGGGAGGGGGTGATGACACTGGGGTATGAGGAGGGAGAAGAGAAAAAAAATTGCAGCTCCCAGATCAAAACAATAATCAGCTAAATGAATTCTGCAGCATTTTCCCACATGACCGGGAGTGATAATTTAGTGCAGCAGCCAGCTGGAAGGAAAGGGATTAATTCTGCACTTAGTGACACCCATGTGAATAATTCATCACACACAGACCCTTTTTCATTGACCCCCCTGAGTAATTACTCCGAAGTACCAAACCAGCCAGCCATGCCCCAGTGATGCAGCTCCCCAGGTGAAAATAGCAATGAAATAAACGGAATGACATTAGGTTCCATCCCAAATTAACTTTATGGATATCATTTTTGTGTGGGGAGGGGCAATAGTTTGATGCTGGACTATGATTTTGGTAATAAGACTGGAGTGAATTGACCAGTCTATGTGTGTGTTATGGCCCTCCAGTGGTTGGCTCAAACATGCTCAACTGTGTGTCCTAGGCCCTACAGTGCTAAGAGCTAATGACGATTCCCCTTTGGGAACAAGAGGATCTGAGTTCTATCCCTGCTACTGGTGTGACACTCCTAGCAGCCATGAGTAACAATTTGGAAAGGTGGCCAAGGATTTGTTAAAAGTGTCCTTGAGCTTTGTGCCTCTTGTGAGCTGAACACCTATTTTGCTGCCAGCAGCCGCAGCAAGGTCACATGGAGGGACTGGCATCAGCTTAACCTCATCCTGATCCATCGCAGAAACAATCACTATGTTCGACCAACACATAGCACTGATTGTGACACTGACCATGCCCTTGTCAGGGCCAAGCTCCAATTACACCTTAAAAAGATCTGTTATGCAAAGCCAAAAGGCTCCCTGCCTGCCCTGGCCCCGTGTTGCTCCCAGAAGTGTCCAGGATGTCCCTGAGGCTCCTTGGGGGGTGGGAGGGGCTAGGGGTATCTGTGCACTGCCTTTGCCCCGACTCTGCAGCTACCATTGGCTGGGAACTAAGGCCAATGGGAACTGTGGGGTTGGAGCCTGCCTTAGCCCCGCTGCAATGCCAACTGGGAGCCGCCCAAGGTAAGCGGGGTTAGGGTGCTCCCCATGCTGCTACCTCCACGTGCCGCTCCTGGAAGCGGCCAGCATGTCCCTGAAGCCCTGGGGGTCAGGGGGCACCGTGCGCTGCCCCTGCCTGCAGGCACGCCCCCCCTCAGCTCCCATTGGCTGCAGTTCCTGGCCAATGGGAGCTGCGGAGTCAGCGCTCGGGTGCAGGCAGTTTGCGGAGACTCTTGTTCCCGCACCCCGCCAGGAACGTGCTGGTCACTTCTGGGAGTGGCGCAGGGCCAGGGCAGGCAGAGAGCCTGCCTTAGCCCGGCTGTGCTGCTGAACTTCTAGCAGCCTAAAATCTGCCAGTTTGATTTCAGTTGCCTCCGGGACATAGAGCCAGATTCCAGGAGACTCCTGGCGAAACCGGGAGGGTTGGCAACCCTACTGCCAGGTCACCTTTTTGACTGGACTTTCCAGTTGAAAACTGGGCACCTGGCAAATGGCACCCAGACACAGATGCCAAAAAACGGACTGTCTCAATAAAACCCAGATGGGTGGCAACCCTACTAACCAGCCACATGGGGGCAAGGGAACGAGGCTGCACCCTATAGTGAGCTCCCCATGGGGCAGTACAACTCCCCTCTGCCCTTGTATGACCCATGTTATTTCCCATCACAGAAGCCCGGTTCAAAGGTCGTGCCTGGGATTTACTTTATATTCTCTCTTCTCGGATCCTCCCCTTTGTCCCCTTCGGTTGCAGAGCACAATGGACTGAGCCTCTGCTTCAGCCCTTTCCTTAAGCCAGGCCCGTCAGATCTCCCTGCTTGTGTTATCCAGCATGGCTCCTTTATGAGTTCTGGGAGACAGGAGGGGAGTGGAGAAGGACACACACTATAAATCTATTTAATTCTGCATCTGTAGTCCCCACGTGGCTGTGACACAGGCATGCCCAGACACGCCCAGGCAATCCTATTACACCTATGTCTGACCAGCTTCACCAAAAGGGTGGGGGTGTTCTCTGCTGAAAGCTAAGTATAGGCCCGGGACTTAACTCACCCCTATACTAAACTAGCCTTGACTAACCTTGGGTGGGACTCAGGGATTTCACCACTGAAATTAAATAAAATTGCTCCACTGCCGTAGGCACCCCACCACAGGAATGCCCATAACAAGAGGGGAGCTTGGCTGCCGGTGGGTGCAGAGCACCCACTAATTTTTCCCTGTGGGTGCTCCAGGCACCTATGGTGACTCACCCCAGACACCTTGGGGAACCCCAAAAGTCTCACAGGGGCCTCTGGATGTAACCTTCTCTCAATATGGCAGCAGCCTGGACACCTGTAGTTTGTTTCTATTTGTGCCATTCAGTCTCAACTCCATTGGCATGGAATCTGCATGACTGCCCTCCTGTCCTCCTCACCCATGCCTGCCAGGGGATGGGACAGCCTTCTCCAGGGTGGTACTGGGGCAGGAGATGGATGGGCATTCAGCTGGCAGAGGATCTGTGTGGAAACCTTGCAGGGCATTGGAGTGAACTATAGGGCATGCCAACACTCGGGTGCTACCTAGCAGGGAATAGCAAACCCCAGTGTTTCGCCTTTGGAACCAGGCCCAAAAGTCCCTTTGTTTCAGGGGGGTATAGATCTGGGTCCTGTCTTAAGTAAAAATATCCCATTCTCCTTTCCCCATGATGGGAAAGGGGAATTCCCCTTTCATGTCAATGGACTAAATCTCACCCACATAGTCCCATTGACCGAGGTGGCCCCTCGCCTCTAAAGTTAATCTGTTCCTTCCCACTTCCCTCACCTCTGAGCCGATCAGCTGCATGCAGAGCTGAACAGTTGGAACAGCACCAGATGTGGTTCTCAGATTAGTGCCCTGGAGAAACAACACAAGGAAGGACAAGGTCAATAAAATCCACATGAGAACATCATCTCCTGAGAACATCAGAGTGTCAGATGGCAACTGTAGTGGGGCAACTGCCCCACTCCAGTAGGCAGGGGTTAAAAGCAGCCCTGGAGAGGGCTATGGCTGGGAAAAGTTAGGCTGATTGGGGAAGCAGCCACAGCTGTGGCCACGCCCAATCAGGCCACAGCTGGCCCTATAAAAGGGCTGTGAGACAAGAGCTCAGGAGGAGCCTTACTCTACCTCTGGAGTGGGAAGGGCTAGCTGCCTGGGAGCAAGGTACCTGAAGCAGAGCAGAGCAGAGAAGTGCTGGGGAAGGGCAAAGGGAGCTGGGGCGCTCCAGCCTGGTAATGCTGCAGGCCTTGGTGAAGGGCTGGGGCTACAGAGGTGTAGCCTGGGGATAGGCAAAGGCAGCAGGTCCTAACCCTTTGCCCATGATAAGTGGCTGTTACAGACTGCCGTCTGCCCCAGTGAATGGGGGTTAGATGATGACTGGCAGTAGCCACTGAGGCAAGGTGGGTTTAGAGTGTTGGGGGTTCCCCTGGGAGGGGAGACCCAGAGCGAGGAGGTACTGCTGGGGCAGAACCCTGAGTAAAGGGCACCAGGGTCTAGGAGGGACACGGGGCCAGCGGCAGGTGAGACACCAGCCTGCAGAGGGCACTCCATATGCTGGAGAGCTAATTCCCAAGATGACCAGTATGAGGTGCCACACCATTGAGTCTTCGCATGGCTACAGCAACCCACAGCCTGTAATAGCTTTGGCTGGCTGGCGCCAGTCTGTTATGGACAGCAGCCATCAAGGAAGTTGCTTGCTTCCCTGCTGCAGCTTAACATGCCAGGAAATTGGGGCTGCCAGGGCTGCCATGACACTCCACAGGGATCCCAGCAGGCCATTGGCAGGATGTGGCTACAGGTGTGCAGGGCCAGCAGTGAAGCAGTTAATAAGCTGGAATGAATAACACATCAGAAGTCAACCCCCCAGCACTCACCTCTATGGTCCTGTTTCTAAAGATGGCTGGTGAGGTCTGTGCATCACTGCCTGCTCCCAGGTACTACACACACCCAGAGATAACCCTGTGCCAGCAGCTATACACTCCCCATCTAGGGGCCAAATCCAGAGAGGGGCTGAGCAGCCATAGCTCCCAAAAAATGAGTGGGAATCATGGGTGCTCAATGCCTCTTAGAACTTTGTGGGAGTCCATGGACATGAAAGGGGAATTCCCTAGAAATTATTTAACGTGGGGTTAAGTTACAAGAGACACGTATGATAGCTTCCCCTAGCTCGCCGAGGCCCGTGAGCATGCAGCGGGTACCACATGTTGGTGGGTTAACACCCTCATAAAAACTCCAGGGTCAATGCAGGCTGAAGTCAGCCTTTCAGAGTGCAGGTAACGGATTAGTTGCCCTGCAGTTACCGGGGTCAGCCTTAAACATGAAAAATAACTGCAGGAATATGTTGAGCAAGCAGGGATTTAGCTGGTTTGGATCAATCTGAGGAGCCTTGGTTGGGACTGGCTCTGGTTCACCAGTCCCTGCTGGGGATGAATGTAACTGAAAGAACCCGGCTTTGTCCCCAGACACCATGCTCAGCCAGTACTTCGCTACAGTATTGTTCCCAGATCAGGCCTAGCAGACACCAGACAAACTGGCAGCAGTGACAAGAGAAACACTCCTGTGGGTAGAGGAGGAAATAATGACCTTTCATCCTCTGTGGAAACCCCCAGACAATTCTGTGAGACCCCATGCACTGTGGTGAACACATGAGAAAAAATGCCAGCTGCAGAGGCCCTATGCAGCCTCAATGTCCATCTGCAGGGACATCAGAGTCACTCAGATGTTCTCCCACTGCACTCCACATGGCGCAATTCCTCCTCTTTCTCCTGCACCCCAAGAGCTGTTCCCTGGATGAGAACCCAGGACTTCTGCTGGTTGCCTCTGTCTGAGTGAACTCACCCGGCCCTCATTGTACTGCTTATCATATTATCCCCCCCATTGATGCACCATGAGCGAGCCCCCCAGCCCTTCCTCTTTTCTTCATCTGGCTAACACCTCTTCTCACCATGCAAAGCACCTCTACCCTGTGCCTCACTCTTGCATGAGATCTCCTCCTGGCTGGCTCTGTTCACTCTAAGTTCTTTCAGCTACCCAGGCCAAACCAGAACGGGATCAGAGAGGAAGGTGGGTGGTACATGACTCATTCTTACACAAGGAACCCTTCCAGCAGGACACAGGATCAGTGTTTGATTAGCCCTCAGCAGGACCCAGAGCAGTTACCTGGATTGGAACATCGTCCACACGAACCCCATTCCGGTTGCTCTCTGCCACAAGACTCCGATACACACGGTTGGTTAGGGGCAACACAGAGTAACCCAAACGCTTTTGCTTGTTCTCAGCTTCTGTTTCTGACACTGGGAAAGGAATCACATCAAATACACCTTATAAAGAGAAAAAAGGACTATTCCCTGCTGTGAACCTAGCAGCACTACAATCCTAAGAGCCTGGAAAAACCTGCATTACCACACTGAGACCCCAGAAACCTAACAACACCCTGCTGAGACCCCTCAATATCCAGCAGTAGAGCCCTGAGACTCCCAACACACAACACTACTGCACTGAGACCCCCCCAAACACATCAATGCCATGCTGAGACCCCCCTAAACCCAGCACTACCTTGCTGAGACAACCAAAGTCCAGCACTAGTGTGCTGAGACCCCCCTAAGCCCAGCACTACTACAGAGACTCCACAGAACCCAGAACTACATAAATGAGATCCTTCAAAACCAAGCACTACTGCACTGATATCCCCAAAACACAGCACTACTTGATGAGACCCCCCCAAACCCAGCACTACAGTCCTGAGACCTCCCCCAATATCCAGCACTACTATGCTGAAATCGCCCAAAGCTCAGCACTCCTGCATTGAGACCCCCAAAACCAACCACTAGCTGAGACCCCATCAAAAACCAGCCCTACAGATCTGAGATCCCCCCCAAACTCAGCTGAGACCCACCAAAATCCTGGGGGGAACAGACATGAGAACCCCAGCACTACATCACAGAGACTCCTAAAACCCAGCACTAATGCATTGACACACCTGAAAACACAGGACTACCACGCTGAGACCCCCCAAACCCAGAACTACCTCCCTGAGACATCCAAAACCCACCACTACCTTGCTGAGACCCCCCAAAACCCAGCACTCCCATGACAAGACTACCCCAAAACCTAGCACTACTACAGTGAGACCCCCCCCAAAACCCAGGACTGCAGCCCTGAGAGCCCCAAAGCTAGCACAACCGTGCTGAAACTGCCAAAAACCAAGCACTACCATGCCAAGATCCCCCAAAGACACAGCACTACATCCCTAAGACTCTAAGAAACTCAGCATTACTGTGCAGACCCCCACCAAAACCCAAGCACTACTATGGTGAGACACCGCAAAACCCAGCAATACCGCGTCAAGACCCTCCAACACCAAGTACTACCATGCTGAGACCCCTGAAGGCAAGCTCTAATACTTCAAGACCACCCAAAACCAAGCACTACCGTGCTGAGACCTCCAAACCCAGCACTAAAGCACTGAGACCCCAAAAAACAACCACTAGCTTACTGAGACACCCCCCCCGAAACCCAGCACTACCACCCTGAGATGCTCAAAATCCAGCACTACCAAGCTGAGACCCCATAAAACCCAGCATTACTGCACTGAGACCCCCAAAACACAGCAATACTGGGGGAGTCTCAGCAAGGTAGTGCTGGTTATTAGGGGGTCCAAGTGAGGTAGTGCTGGGTTTTGAGGCATCTCAGGGTAGTAGAGCTGGGTTTTGGGGGCCTCAGGGCTGCAGTGCTGGGTTTGTGGTGATGTCAGTGACTTTGTGTTGTGTTGTGTTTTGGGGCATTTGTGGGCTGTAGTGCTGGGCTTTGGGGGGTCTCAGGGCGGTAATGCTTTGTTTTGAAGGTCTCAATGACATAGTGCTGGGTTTTGAGCAGTCTCTGCTGTAGTTCTGGGCCGTCTTGAAGTATTAAGAACTGGAGGTCCTGGTGATGTCAAGGAATTATGATGTGATTGGAATAACAGAGACTTGGTGGGATAACTCACATGACTGGAGTACTGTCATGGATGGTTATAAACTGTTCAGGAAGGACAGGCAGGGCAGAAAAGGTGGGGGAGTAGCACTGTATGTAAGGGAGCAGTATGACTGCTCAGAGCTCCGGTACGAAACTGCAGAAAAACCTGAGTGTCTCTGGATTAAGTTTAGAAGTGTGTGCAACAAGAGTGATGTAGTGGTGGGAGTCTGCTATAGACCACCAGACCAGGGGGATGAGGTAGATGAGGCTTTCTTCCGGCAGCTCACGGAAGCTACTGGATCGCATGCCCTGATTCTCATGGGTGACTTTAATTTTCCTGATATCTGCTGGGAGAGCAATACAGCGGTGCATAGACAATCCAGGAAGTTTTTGGAAAGCGTAGGGGACAATTTCCTGGCGCAAGTGCTCGAGGAGCCAACTAGGGGGGGCGCTTTTCTTGACCTGCTGCTCACAAACCGGGTAGAATTAGTGGGGGAAGCAAAAGTGGATGGGAATCTGGGGGGCAGTGACCATGAGTTGGTTGAGTTCAGGATCCTGACACAGGGAAGAAAGGTAAGCAGCACGATACGGACCCTGGACTTCAGGAAAGCAGACTTCGACTCCCTCAGGGAACGGATGGCCAGGATCCCCTGGGGGACTAACTTGAAGGGGAAAGGAGTCCAGGAGAGCTGGCTGTATTTCAAGGAATCCCTGTTGAGGTTACAGGGACAAACCATCCCGATGAGTCGAAAGAATAGTAAATATGGCAGGCGACCAGCTTGGCTTAATGGTGAAATCTTAGCGGATCTTAAACATAAAAAAGAAGCTTACAAGAAGTGGAAGGTTGGACATATGACCAGGGAAGAGTATAAAAATATTGCTAGGGCATGTAGGAATGTTATCAGGAGGGCCAAATCGCACCTGGAGCTGCAGCTAGCCAGAGATGTCAAGAGTAACAAGAAGGGTTTTTTCAGGTATGTTGGCAACAAGAAGAAAGCCAAGGAATGTGTGGGCCCCTTACTGAATGAGGGAGGCAAACTAGTGACAGAGGATGTGGAAAAAGCTAATGTACTCAATGCTTTTTTTGCCTCTGTTTTCACTAACAAGGTCAGCTCCCAGACTGCTACGCTGGGCATCACAAAATGGGGAAGAGATGGCCAGCCCTCTGTGGAGATAGAGGTGGTTAGGGACTTTTTAGAAAAGCTGGACGTGCACAAGTCCATGGGGCCGGACGAGTTGCACCCGAGAGTGCTGAAGGAACTGGCGGCTGTGATTGCAGAGCCATTGGCCATTATCTTTGAAAACTCGTGGCGAACCGGGGAAGTCCCGGATGACTGGAAAAAGGCTAATGTAGTGCCAATCTTTAAAAAAGGGAAGAAGGAGGATCCTGGGAACTACAGGCCAGTCAGCCTCACTTCAGTCCCTGGAAAAATCATGGAGCAGGTCCTCAAAGAATCAATCCTGAAGCACTTACATGAGAGGAAAGTGATCAGGAACAGCCAGCATGGATTCACCAAGGGAAGGTCATGCCTGACTAATCTAATCGCCTTCTATGATGAGGTTACTGGTTCTGTGGATGAAGGGAAAGCAGTGGATGTATTGTTTCTTGACTTTAGCAAAGCTTTTGACACGGTCTCCCACAGTATTCTTGTCAGCAAGTTAAGGAAGTATGGGCTGGATGAATGCACTACAAGGTGGGTAGAAAGCTGGCTAGATTGTCGGGCTCAACGGGTAGTGATCAATGGCTCCATGTCTAGTTGGCAGCCGGTATCAAGTGGTGTGCCCCAAGGGTCGGTCCTGGGGCCGGTTTTGTTCAATATCTTCATAAATGATCTGGAGGATGGTGTGGATTGCACTCTCAGCAAATTTGCGGATGATACTAAACTGGGAGGAGTGGTAGATACGCTGGAGGGGAGGGATAGGATACAGAAGGACCTAGACAAATTGGAGGATTGGGCCAAAAGAAATCTGATGAGGTTCAATAAGGATAAGTGCAGGGTCCTGCACTTAGGACGGAAGAACCCAATGCACAGCTACAGACTAGGGACCGAATGTCTAGGCAGCAGTTCTGCGGAAAAGGACCTAGGGGTGACAGTGGACGAGAAGCTGGATATGAGTCAGCAGTGTGCCCTTGTTGCCAAGAAGGCCAATGGCATTTTGGGATGTATAAGTAGGGGCATAGCGAGCAGATCGAGGGACGTGATCGTTCCCCTCTATTCGACATTGGTGAGGCCTCATCTGGAGTACTGTGTCCAGTTTTGGGCCCCACACTTCAAGAAGGATGTGGATAAATTGGAGAGAGTCCAGCGAAGGGCAACAAAAATGATTAGGGGTCTGGAACATATGAGTTATGAGGAGAGGCTGAGGGAGCTGGGATTGTTTAGCCTGCAGAAGAGAAGAATGAGGGGGATTTGATAGCTGTTTTCAACTACCTGAAAGGGGGTTCCAAAGAGGATGGCTCTAGACTGTTCTCAATGGTAGGAGATGACAGAACGAGGAGTAATGGTCTCAAGTTACAGTGGGGGAGGTTTAGATTGGATATTAGGAAAAACTTTTTCACTAAGAGGGTAGTGAAACACTGGAATGCGTTACCTAGGGAGGTGGTAGAATCTCCTTCCTTAGAGGTTTTTAAGGTCAGGCTTGACAAAGCCCTGGCTGGGATGATTTAACTGGGAATTGGTCCTGCTTTGAGCAGGGGGTTGGACTAGATGACCTTCTGGGGTCCCTTCCAACCCTTATATTCTATGATTCTATGATTCTATGATTAGGTCTTGCCTTCAGGGGTCTCAGCAGGGTAATGCTGGGTTTTCAGGGTCTCAGCTGGTAGTGCAGAACAAAGTCACTGACACCCCCCCAACCACAGCTTTGAGGCCCCCAAAACCTAGCACTACCACACTGGGGGTCTTAGCAAGGTAGTGCTAATGTCCAGCACTACAGCACAGAGAACCCCAAAACCCAGGACTACCAAGCTGAGACACCACAAAACCCAGCATTACTGCACTGAGACCCCCAATCGTAGCACTACAGCCCTCATCCCGGCCCAAAACACAGCAGTAAGGCACTGAGACCCCCCTAACCCAGCACAACAACTCTGAGGCCCCCAAAACCCAGCACTACAATGCTGAAACCCCCCCCAAGCCAAGCACTACCTCACTGAGACCTCCAAAACCCAGCACTATGTCACTGAGACCCTTCAAAACGAAACACTACCTCACTGAGACCCCCAAAGCCCAGCACTACAGCTCTGAGGCCCCCAAAACCCAGCTCTACTACACTGAGATGCCTAAAAACCAGCACTACCAAGCTTGGACCCCCTAATATCCAGCACTACCTTGCTGAG